TCTATTGACAGCTTGCCTCTGTCACTGCTTGGCCTTGTGACCTTGGACACATTCCTCAGTAGCATCTCTGCACCTCATTTCCCACATCTATCACAGCAAGCTACTAAAAGTTCTGAGACCATGCAGTGGTCACCAAACATAGTCACTGGCTGGGAGGAATCACGGACTGTTTCTATTAATAACTGGCCTCCATGGTGGCCGAACTTTGGGAGCTCAGCATAGCATCCTCCTTCCTAGTGTTCAAAGCAGAGGGCCAGACCATTTGGTGTTTTGGAGGGCTCTGATCTGATGCATGTATTGTCCCTCAGAGTGTCCTGCTTCTCTGAGCCCGGGGACCTCTCTGCAGCAGCCCTCTTTCGGCCTCTGCAAAGCCATACAGAGAACCTGAGGGCAGAGTGTATGTCAGGGAGGGTTTGCTCTCTGAATTCACACCTGTATGCAGCTCCCTTTATCCACAGCATCACCCTCTTCCTCACTCCAACTTCACTTTGCAAACAATTTCCTGGAGGACCTGGTCCTTGTTACGTTCAAGTTGTGACGCAGAGAATCCTGGGTGAGTCCTTGCATTCTGCATTTCTAACCAGCTCCCCACCAGGTCCCAGATCAAGGATTGCAGGGCATTTAGTATGGTCTCGTTTTGTAAAGGTAAAAGACATGCCACAGCCGGGCAGTGGTGGCGCACACCTTTAATCCCAGCACTTGGGAGGCAGAGGCAGGTGGATCTCTGTGAGTTCGACGCCAGCCTGGTGTATAAAGTAAGTTCCAGGATAGCCAGGACTACACAGAGAAACCCTGTCTCAAAAACAAAACAAAACAAAACAAAAAATAAGCTGCAGAATAAATTCTTAGCTGTAGTGTTGATCCATAGCTGGAAAGATAACCCAAGGCTTTCAAATACTTCTAGAATGTCTGTTTTTTAATAGTAAGTTTCACTATTGTGTTTAAGAAAAAAATCATAATACTTAGCTGGCCGGAGAGATGCCATGATCAAGAGAGTAGTTTTTGCAGGGTGAGGCTCAAACATTGCGTGCTGACCCCCATGATTTCCCCAAATATGGGAAACATTGACTGTATAATTTGTGGTAGTAGAGGATTACATTCACACTTTCCCCTGAAAAAGAGAGAGAGAGAGAGAGAGAGAGAGAGAGAGAGAGAGAGAGACTAAAACAAACAAACAAACAAACAAACAAATCCCAGTTACAATGGTCCAGACAGACATTTTCAGACTGTCCTCCCAGCCTAAACTGATGGTGCTGATCCTCTTGGCTCATATCCCTGCCCTCTCTGATCCTCAGAGCATAACAGGTTGGCTAAGGACAGCTGCTCTGGATGGAGGATGCTGGGACTGGCGCTTCAGCTCCTGGACCTTTGATGTGGATGGCACAGCTGGAGAGACATGGCAGTGAGCACCAAGCCTGGGCTGGGCCCCACCCAGGCATGCTGTCCTGTCCTTGTGCCCACTTTTCAGATTAGATAACTAAGACCCAGAATGTGGAAGGATCCAGATCATATACGTAGGTAAGGCCCAGGGGGTTCTCCAGCCTTCTCACTTGGCTCATTGTCCACCTTCTTTGGGTCTCTGTTCCAACACTACCTGGCGTTATAGTCTCTGGCCATCCTGTATACATTAACAACACAATCCCTCCCCAGCCCTGCTCATCACTGTCAGGCGGTCATGGTTATTGGCTTATTTGCATACAGCCCCTCCTCTTCCTCTCGACTATAAGGCATGTGTAGGTAAGGACCATTCTTCTCACTGCTTTGTCTCTGGGGTCTAGCATGCTGCTTGGCACGATGCAGCGGTGAAAAACTAATAGTCTCCAATTCCCAGGACACTTCACTAGTCTCAGCACATGGAAGTGACCTGCTGATCCTCCCTTTCTTGGCTTCCTTGTGAGAGCTCCTAATTAGGTCCCTCTTGGTGCAAAAGGGGGTGGCTGGGATGGTGCCTCCCGGCCTCTTTGTGTGAAAGGGACAGGCAAGCACAGGTGGAGGAATCTCATTATGTGCCACCCTCCTCATGCCCTGGGCCTGGCTACCACGCTTTTGGAGCCCTGGGGTTTAAGACAAGAACTTTCTCCTCTCTCCAGAGGACTTCCTTCTACCAGGGTGCTCTCCCCTTATCTGCCCGTGGCTGGCCCCTGCTTATCATTTAGGTCCCTTTTCAAAGGTCACTTATTCAGGAAACCCTTGACTCCTCCCGGCTAACGTGGCTTTCCACGCCCTGTTGATTTCTTCCATTTCTTCTAGTACAGATGATTTCTGCTTCCCCCATTCCAGCCTCTGCCGATGTGTCTGTCCCACCACCTGTAAGATCTGAGCGTGGAGACAGACCCTAGCTCTTCTGTTCGGTATTGTATCTATGAGCTTAGATAGGGCCTGGCTTATCATGGGTTCCTGGTAATTCGTGGAATTAATGGTCCTCTCTTTCGTCTAGAAACAGAAACACTGAGGCCCAAAGATAGAAAGGAATATGCTGGAGATTATTAATTAGTGTCAGAACCTAGACTAGAAAGCATTCAAGGTTAAGTGGACTAGAGCTGATTTTGGTCAGCTGACTACAACCTTGACGGTTCCAGATCTTCCAAGGCCTCAGTTTCTCTACAGGAGATGAATGCTGGAGTGAAGTAATCATAACCAACATATAATAACCCATTTCTATAGTTAGCACCCATCTCGTCCCCTGAAATAATATCTTCGGTCCAGCATCCGTACTCCAGAGATACAGGTAAATCGTTCCGAAAGCCGCAGAAGGAGAAAACTACAATACCCAGAGCGCCTCGCGCGGCGTCTGCGCATGGTGACGAGCCCGAGAGACCCCGTCCGCCATCTAGCGGCGGTCTTGAGAAGCGCTCCGCTCGGATCCCCGTGGGGCGGGGGACCCGCGGCGCACGCAGTCGGGATATTCGGCTGCAGCCGCGAAGCCGGGGGCCAGGAGCCGGAGCAGGAGCGGCGGCCGGGATCGCAGCCCGCCGGGCCCGCCGCAGCCATGGGCAACCGCGGCATGGAAGACCTCATCCCTCTAGTCAACCGGCTACAGGACGCCTTCTCCGCCATCGGCCAGAACGCGGACCTCGACCTGCCGCAGATCGCCGTGGTGGGCGGCCAGAGCGCCGGCAAGAGCTCAGTGCTGGAAAATTTCGTGGGCAGGTAGGAGCGGCGCGGACTCCCGCGCTCCGGTGCCCCGGGTCCCCGCCCCGGGCTCCGACGGTCTGGTCGCTGCTCCTGAGGACCGAGCGCCCCCGCCCCCCACCCGAGCCCTAGGGCACGCAGCGACCCCGTCAGACCACGGACATCGGTGGAGTCCCCCCACTCCTTCACCCCATTCCTCCGCAGGGCTACCCGGGCGAAGGGCTGTCCTTGATCGCCAATACCCGCACCGTGGGGGCCCGCATTACTCAGCGCCTCGCTGGGAGCGGACAGCACCCGGAGGGCAGTGTCCCCTCCCCACCCTAGGCTCCGTGGAGCCGGCTCTGCCCCCGTGGGAATTCCTGGTCGTGACAGGGGACAGCCCCCTCCTTCGGTCCCTAGAAAAGGACACAGCCCCGTGGGCATCAGGGACCAGGCACAGCCTCCCCCTTCGCACACGCACACGCGCGCGCGCACACACACTAACACATACACACACACACCTCTGCGGCTCCCGCCGCCATCCGTGCGCAGAGCGGCGGAGGGGGAGGCGCGGGCTGCGGGGCGAGGAAGGGAAGGGGGAGGGAGGAGAAGCGGCTTGTGAGCCTTTGCGGAGCAGCCGGCCCCTGGCTTCGCCGCCCCCTGGGTGGGGGCCGCCTGTCAGTGTCCTCCTCCCCTGGCCTGGCAGAAGGGTTGTGATGGAGAGAGAAGGCGGCAGAGGGCAGAGATGACTAAGTCCGGGAGGCAGGATGGCGGGGAGGTGGAGGGTGGTGAGCCGTTGCAGAACCTAATCCTCCTCCGGCCTCTGATCCCACAAGGCGCTGGGAAGGCCAGGTGGCAGAACGGGGGTGCAGCCTTAGAGACAAAGGGTCTTGAACTTAGGGGGACAGGCAGGGTCGTGACCCCCCCCCCCAGGCTCCCTTTGAGCAAGGGAAAACAGAGATGGCATTTCCGGTTCTTAGAAAGAGTAGATCGTTCTCTGAGTTCAGGAGCAGGATGGGGAGGGGGCTACAGGACAGAGGGAAGGACAGGAGCCTTGAACTTCATCCCTCACCTGTACCGCTCCCTCTCGAATCTTTCTAGAAAATCTTGCTTTCTCGCAATGACCTTCATGGCTAAGGAGATGACTGGCATGGAGAGAGGGAAGCAGGGCCCCTCCTTCCAGAGGAACAGGAGCTCTGTGGGGTGACATCTGGGTCTAAGCCAGGTTCTGCTGGAAAACCTTGGGCAAGTCACTTGCCTTTACAAACATCTGTGCAATATGGACAGACTGGATGGTTGATGTCACCCCTCACATGTCCCCAGACACCCACTGCAAACCCATCCTGGAGGCAGGAAGAGGACCCGAGTAGAGCCATGTTTTCGTGGGATGTGGGCATGGCACAGTGGAAGTGGCTGTGTCTGTCTCATCAGCAGAGAGAAGCAGCTGTGTCTGGATCACGTGACCCCAGAGCTGCAGACACAGGCAAGAAACCATATAGCTGAGCCCCTTCCTAGGGGTCCAACAGTCAGGACTGGTAAGGGTGGAGGACTATGGCGCCCTTGGAGGCAGCGGAATGCAAGGATGTCTCAGCTCTCATCCGCTGAGCGCTTGCTGGACTGCTGTGAGCCAGACTGTGCTCTGGTCGGGGGTGAAGACTGGGGAGCTCCACACAGCCCCTCCCATGCCTTGCTGTACCCCCGGTGAAGCAATCACACCATAGACGTCCACCTCATAGGTGGGCCACCTGAACGGAGATGCGTTACTCAAGGTCACATATTTGGGAAGGGACTTGTCAGATTCCATCCTGACCCTATGTTGGTCATGGGGACTCATTGGAGTGTAGACATCTGGTTTTCCTGTCTGTAGGATGGGGGCCCTGGAAACTTACCTTGACCTCTTAAAAGGGTACGAAAGCCATTCACTAAATCCGTGGAAGAGAGTCCTTGAGACACTCCCGGAGTCTTAGTCCGGGGACCTATCCATGGTGCTCCTGCCCTCCGGGAGTGCGGAAGGATGGCCCAGACCACAGCAGACACACAGCAGCAGCTGTTTACCTGTCGAGTGGCAGAAAAGGCATGGACTCTGCCCTTTGTGCCCCAGTGCCCTTGGCTTGGCCACGGCTCCGGCACGGATATGAAGGAGTGTCCAGATGCAGGTGTGGGGCGGAGGAGAACTGCTCCCAGATTGGGGGAGCAGGTAGGAAGCGGTGTTGAACCCCTTAAGCTAGAGAAGAGGCCAGGGCTGGGACGTGGGTGGTGAAATTGAGGCTAGGGGTGGGGTTGGGTTCCAGCCAGCCCTACCTGCGCCCTCTTGGGTTCCCGACCTCTCTACCTAGCGCTGGGTCCCCAGACCCGTGAGCATGGAAACAACAGCTCTTTCTCCTGGGGCTTCCAGAGCACCAACCCCCATGGAGAGGAAGTGGAAAACTCTCTGGAGGAAGCAGGCTAATCCAGGCCAGCCAGGTTCCCAGGCACCCAGGAGGACCCAGTGTCAGCTCTGTAATGGAGGTGGCCCCGCAGCTGCCAGGACCCTGCTAGGGCTTGTTTGAGTCTGTGCCATTTCTTTTGCTTCCCTTTTCCAGATGGGGGAAACTGAGGCCAGTTCATTCAGTAATTTAGCAGTCATTCTTGGAGGGTCCACAGTGGTCACAGGTAGAGTCTTTGATGAGGATGAAGCTGTGCATTCCAGAGAGGGAAACTGAGGCACCTGCAGGATGTGGCCAGGGTCCCGGAGGGAGCAGATCGGCTCAGAAGGTCTTAGAGGAAGGTCGCACCTAGGAGAGCCAAGCAGGGCCAAGCTGTGTGAGAAGCTGGGGAAGATCCCCAGCCAGGGAACAGCAGGTGCAAAGGGCCTGGGGCAGGAAAGAACCAGTCTGAAAGACAAACAGGCACCATGACGGCTGGCATTTGCCCAGGCAGGAAGGATGCGACAGGCATAGGCAGGGCCTGCGTCTGTGAGGCCTTAGGCGACTGTCAGGAGACTGGCTTTATTTTCGTTATCCTTGGAGGCTCATAAGTGGCAGGATGACTTGAGGTGACTCTGACAAATGTGTGCCAGGGAGGAGGCAAGAGGGAGGACTGCGGAGCTCCCACAGGGATGTCGAAGGATGTGGCCTCAGATCTGTCTGGGGCCAGGTCCCACTGAGGGATGGATGGGAGCGGGAGTGGGAGGGGCTGAGAGGGAATCAAGGGTGCCCGGGGTCGGGGTTGATGAGACCAGGGCTCTCAGGAGAGTCCGGAGGACCAACCTCGGGGGACAGTGGGTGGTGGTGGACAGGTTCAAGGCAGCGAGGATTCAGTGAGCGAGGATTCAGTCAGAGATGCCCTAGACATCTCCTGGAGGTGTTGGGAGCTGGGGAGAGGGCACAGGGGAAATATGAATGTGGAAGCTGTCGGTGTAGACATGGGATTTAAATCCGTGAGAGATGAGATCATACAGGGGCAGCTGGAGGAGTGTCTGTGGCCCCCAGGACTAGCTAGTACTTCCTGAACAGATGCTCCACTGCGGGGCCGCCTCCATGCCCTGCCTCCCAGCATCCCTCCAAGGTTAGCATGGCAGATAAGCACTTACCTTTGCCCCCAGTGGGTGGGGAGAACAGTGGGAACGCAGCAACCACAGCAGCCCCAGGTGTCTTTCCATCCCTGGCTATCTACTATTTTCACATCTGTAAAATGGGGACAGTAGCGTAGCAAGCATGACCCCTGTGAGACTTTGTGGAGGGTTGAGAGGACACAGGTGTAGCAGGGATGTGTCTTCCCCATCTGAGTGGGGCAGGGGTGGACAATAAGCTCCAGAGCCCAGCAGCCAGCCAGGGAGCAGATGTAGGCGACGCTCCCCAATCCACAGCCTTGGTCTCTGCTGTCCTTCCCTGCACTGGGCGTCCGTTTCCCACGGGAGACAGCCCACCCCTCAGTGTTCAGTTCACATTCTTTCCCCGATCTCTTTCCTCGTGAGCCTGTTTCTCAGAGTTGGAGACTGACATTGAGGAAAGTGAGGGGATATAACAGCCGTCCGAGACAAGGGGTCCCTGGCCTGGGGTGGGCAGAGAGAACGGACACCTGCTGGGCTTGCTCTGAGGAAGCGGCATGAAGACTGACCTGAGTAACACTAAACAGACTGAGAAGCCGGAGGAAGAGTGAGCCATTCTAGGTGTGGGGAGGACCTCCCTGAAGGGGACAGTGACCAGGCCCCCCACCCCACCCCCACCGTCTCCTCAGAGCACACCCCTAACACACACAGAGTGCTCAGTGCCTCTGAGCCACACGTGGAGCTCACAGCTGGGGCTGGTCTCAGCCAAGGGACACCTTCCCCCATCTCTGCCCCCCCAGTGGCCCAGAGGAACTAAAGATGAAAGGTGACCCTGGCAGACAGCATTTGATCCCGGCGCCAGGAGAGTCGAGTTTCCCGGGCTTGGTGGGGGTCAGAGGGTGGGAATGTCGGGCTGTGAGTACCCAGGTAGGACACTGGTGCGGGAAGCCAGGTGTGGGCACAGTGTTGTCAGGCGTGGGCAGGAGCAGAACCACAGGCCCACATGCCATGTGTCTGGGATTGCTATTATAAATCAGGGCGAGGCTGCTGAAGGCAGTACATTCTGCCCTTGGCAAACCCACCCTGCATGGAGGCAGGTGGCCCCTCTCTCAGGCTGCCCTGTCCCTTCTCATCCCACCTTGCACCACAAAGCCCCCCCCAGCTGTCGTATTATCTATGCCCCCAGAAAAGACCTCTCTCGGCAACCCTTAAAATGAGGGCCATTTCCCCAGGACCCTGGAGACCTTTATCCACAGGCATATGACGCCCAGGGCCAGGGCCCCTGTTTCCACACCTAAGGACAGCACTGTTTGTGGTCTTCGTGAAATTGTGGACTATCATCTCAGGCTTCCAGAATGGCTCAGAGAAGGAGGGGGTCTTGCTTGAAGTCACACAGCAATTAAATCAAAGACGGGAGAGGAACCAAGAGGTCCCCTGCTTCTAGGCCAGACTTCCCCATGTGCCTGTCCACACTCCACACCCTGCCCTTTTGTACAACCCCATCTCTGTCCTTCTCCCCTTGGCTGTCTTTCTGATTCTTACCCCTTCTGAGACAGAAGTCTGAGGACAAGGAAGCCCTATAGAAGATTGCACTAGACTTCAATTCCTGCAGGTAACAAGGAGATGACCAGTCAGGCTTGGAGGGTGCACAGGGCAGATCCCTAAGTACCCTGGACAGAGCCCTGGAGCAAACTCTGCAGCCAACAACACATCCAGGGTTCGGTCCCCAAGCCCCACAAAGCCAGCTACCAGACCAGTGACCTCTCACCGCGCTGTCTGTTCTTGGTCTACCAGCAGGGAGCTCTGTACTGCTCCCTCCTCCTAATCTCCTCTAGCTGAAGCTTCTTTGTCCCCTCAAAACTGAGCCCCAGATTCCGGGTTGAGCCCTGTTGTCCTGATCACCTTTAGCCAGTCCATGCTGGTCCCCTGACTAGCTGGCAGTTCATGGAGGAAATGGGTTGAGGTCCCTCTGACATTGTCTTCTCTGCTTTCCTGCCCCCATCTCCCTCACTGGCTCTGACTTCCAAGTCTCATCAGCCAGGCCCTCCCCCTCCTCCGGATGCCTTCCTGATGCCCTAGCTCCTTGTGCTGGCCCAGTTCCATGTGTGGGGTGGGGCTCTGTCCGCCCCCCCCCCCCAGCATAGAAGAAAGGAGGAGGAAGCACCTGGCAGACGGCCCTTACAGCATCTATCTAGAGCCTTGAAATTCTTCTATCACTTGGGCTCCCAGGCACCGGCTCTCAGCGAGCATGGAGGCCAACAACCAGAAGAGGAGGCTTCTCACCTGCCCGAGCGCCCAGCACGTCTGCAGAGCACACAGCCAGAGCATGCAGCTTTTGAGCGCCCCCAGTGGGCACCCTCAGTTAGGTCTTCCACAGCCCCGTTCTCAGGGCATCCTCTCAAGAGCCCTGGAACAAAGCTGCTGCACTGAGTCCCATTTCACCGACGGGGAAACTGAGGCTCTGAGCAGGGACACATTTCTGGGGATGAAGCTGGAGTTTTCTCCTCACGCTATTGTGACAGGAAATACCAACCCAGAGGCATCTGTACCGGGTGTCTTGGGAGATGTCCCTGATGGCTTGTAGGAGCCTGAGTGGGAGTCCAGCTGAGGGTCATGTGACTTCTGTCCTCTGAGCCTCAGTTTTCCTGTGAAATGGGGAAACTGATCACAGCGACCTCAGCCAGCCGTGAGAGCAGCCGGTCCAGATGACAGAGCCTTGAACAGCTTCACTGCTGTGTGATTTGTGAATCATAAAACCCACCCATTTAAAGTGCACAATTCAATGATTTTTAGTGTATTTACAGAGTTCTGCAGCCATCATCATAAACTAATTTTAGAACATTCCCATCACCCCAAAAAGAAATCTTAGAATGCTGCAGAGTTTTCAAGGCTCCAGCAGAGTCTGGCCAACAGTCAGCAGCCACTGGTACGAGCAATGCTTACGGTGGCCGTCTCTAGGGGCTGGGACAACGGTCGTGTTTTACCTTGTAAAATAGTTTATGTATCTCTTGAACTTTTTCAAGTGGAGAAAAGAAAAATCCTTTTTTTTTTTTTTTTTAAGAAGACTGAAGCTGGGCGTTGGTGGCATTTTTTTGAGACAGGGACTCTTGGCATAGCCCTGGCTGTCCTGGAACTCATGTAGACCAGGCTGGCCTCAAATTCACAGAGATCCACCTGCCTCTTCTCTCTTCCTTCCATAATGCTGGGATTAAAGGTGTGTGACTAAAATCTTAATTTTTTTTTATTCATGTACATTGGTGTTTTGCCTGCATAATGGTGACAGGTCCCCTGGAACTGGAATTACAGACAGTTTGTGAGCTACCATGTGGTTACTGAGAATTGAACTCAGGACCTCTGGAAGAGCAGCCAGTGCTCTTAACCACTGAGCCATCTCTGCAGCCCAAAATCTTAATTTTTTCATTAGGTGAAAAAAAATAAACTATTTCCACTTTGAAAATATAACTTCCAGTGGATGGCGGTGGCGCACGCCTTTAATCCCAGCACTCGGGAGGCAGAGGCAGGCGGATCTCTGTGAGTTCGAGGCCAGCCTGGTCTACCAAGTGAGT